AAAAAAAAAAAAAAAAGAGACTGAACAATTGAGGTAAGCATATTGAAAACCTCATTGCTTTGATTAATAATCAGGCAAAAGATAGCTACATGCATTATGAAGGAATCAATCTACTACTGAGGGGCCAAAAATGATTAAATTAAGGTCCATGCTTAACTTTAAATTGAGTTTCCCTATAAAATGAATGTATATGAAATAAAAACAAAACTTTGTACTAAAGGATTATATCAGGGAGGAATTAAGAATTTACATCTAGGGACAACAGAAAAGCACATTATGTTCTCAAATAACCTATTCAAGTGAAGTTACTCCCTTCATGCAAAGTAGACCTATAACTATGCTCTTCATTTACCAGTAATTACTAGAAAGTATAAAACGCAAAGAAAAAAAACAGTTTTCTAAGAAACTGCAGCTAGTGAAGCAGGCAAGGTAAATAACTACAGCCCTTGGGCCAAATCTAACTAGAGTCAAAGGGGTTTTGGTATTTTTAAATGGTCAGAAGAGGCCAACTTATAACACAAAATTTTATGAAATGAAAGTTTCCCCAAATCAAGGTTTGCCAACATAACCATCTCCATTAGCTTATTATCCAATGGAGGTTGAAAAGAAAATTCAGATCGGAAGCATCAAGACCAGAAGCAGGTGGGGGTAGAGATGATTAACACAGCTAAACCATAGAAATGAAAGACCCTTAAACGCTCCTTAAGCAGGAACTGACAGCTATAGAAATAGAGTTGGAGGGGCAGACCAGAGATGAGATGTGGTGACTGAGGGTAGAGGAACCAACCCAGTCACACCCTAGGAGTAGGAACCCTTCCCTGAAAGAACTTTCTGCACCGAAGAGGAGCAGACAAGGCCCAACCAAGATGCTGCCTCTGCAGGCCTGGTACCAAACCCATCCATTTCCAGAGGCAGCTCTTTCTGCCTGCTGATGTCTGTGCCAACCATCCGTTTCTTTAAATAGGCCCTTTTTGATAACCAAGTTTCCACCTTCATGGGGAAATGCCTGTTAAAAGGGAACTCTAGAGAAATTCCTCTCAGGTAACCTAAGTACCCCCTTCTCTGAAGCCAATACCTCTCTCAAAAGAGACCATGGCCTACGTAAGAAACACCGACTCTGGCCCTGTAAAGGCATCCTATCCCTGGCCCCCAGTGAAGAGGTGTCTCATTACTATCTACTGGACTCAGTCCATCAGAGTGGCTAGAGAAAAAATAAACTAGCCCTTTAATGAACTGTCAGTTGAGTACTAATCCATTTAAGCAAATTTTAATTGACACCAAACAATGAAATAGAGCTTCTATCCTGACAATTTCCCCTCCCTGTAATGCTGTGACCATATAAGACGCCAGCTATCTAGTAGAAACGAGTGTTGTCTGTTACTTTTCTACCAAATTGCAGTGAAAAAAAATAGCTAAAATGATGTGGACTAATAAGCTCAGATTAACCAGGGGATCTATTTCTGAGCTCCTACAATCACATGATGATCCTTCTCTTAACTGGGTAGGTACCCTAATAAAATAGGGTGTGGGTGATCACATCAATTACCCATCACTTCCAGTCTTTTTAAATAGAAGCATGTGAACTCAAATTCTTAAACAGGAAAACTAAAATTGGCTATGGTACTGCCCAATCCCATTACCGAGCATGATGTCATGTTCAACATGTCAAAACTCTCTCAACACTTCTTGCTTCAGAAAGGTGGAGCCCAATCTAGCCCTTGAACATGGGTGGGCTGGCACTTGGTGACTTTAACAAGCTGAGTCTAGTGCAAGTGTCTGTAACAGAGCTTAGGTCACAATAGGCATTGTGGCTTCACAACAGGCATTGTGGCTTCATTTGGCTGGAGGAAAGGCTGTACAGTGAAAATACTCAACAGCGCTGGGGAAAAGGCCACATGCTGAGGGCATGTTCCAGGGCAGCCCCAACTCAGATGGGTTGGCAAAAAGTGGGGCCCCGGGCAGCGGGTTAAAGCACAGCACTGAGAGTCCAGGGCCGCTTCCGCATGAGTTCGATTCCCGCCTGCCCCGGAGGTGACCACATGGCGTGGCAGACCTCTCCTGGC